AATTCAACTCAGAGTTTGTGCACTTTCCTTCTAGACTATATCCTTGTGTATTCTCATTAAGGCTTTGCTGGTAATAAAGAGAAAAACACTGTAAACATTTTGGTGGTTATCGAATAATTTTTTTCTTAGTATGTCAGCAGCTATGTCTTACAAATTAAGGCAAAATGGATAGGCAGGTTATGAGGGAGTTCAACTGTAACATCTTTCTTGCCCGTTAGTGATAAAATGCATTAATATAATTGAATAAGAGGTTATTTCTCCAAAACTGTTCATTAAAATGTGGACCAGAGGAGAAAAAGGGCAGGAAAGGTTTTTCCTGCTACTTAACGAGAATCATTCTAAATAACAGATTCTGCAGACAATTTAAAGGCTAAATTCTCCTCTCTGATACTCACTATACTGGTTCTTTTAACTGCGGTTTCTTAACGTGAGTAAGATTTCTCTTGACATGAATAAGAGAAATTCTGAACTCAAAATGACTGAAAGAGGGAAATATCTTCTTCTAGGAAGGTATGAGAGAAATATCACTTTATATGGCTCTTAAATGTTTTACAACAGTATCTTCTTATCAAGCTATGAACAGATGGACAATTTATGGTGAGCTGGGCAAAGACAGTGTCAACTCAGTGAATGCCAGATGCCTTGCTGTAGCTGCCTACATGAGGTGGTTTTCACTTCAGCATAACAGCATGCATATGAACAGTTATCACAGAGTACCTGACACATGGGATGAGTTTGCATTTGATCTTGTTTCTCCACAGCTTACATGTTTCTAGCAAAATAAATATAAGAACTTAGTTAAAACTTCAATTACTTTCAGACAAAACAGTTACCATATCAGGACAAATACACTTAAATTACTTCACTTATTCAGAAATTAAAAATCTGACAGAAATTTGGTGAATTCATAATTAAATTAAGAACAAAACCAAATATCTGGGAAAACACTGAGTTCCAGCCTGTGTTGTATCTAGAAATGGAAACTATGTCTTAGTAATAACTGTTTCTAATATATTAATAAGCAATAAGCACAACATTTATTTAATGGCTTAAAGAGGCCTCTATAAAGTGTCATTATAAGAATTACTGCAGAAGCCAAGGAGCTGCTGCCTAAGACCTACAGGACTAAAGAAAATAAATATCCAGTTAGGAATCAAAGAGCAATTGATTAATTTTCATCTTGCATCTTGTTTACAGACTAATTGCTTATGATTTCATGTCTGGACTCATGTTATATTCCTTAATTAGCAGTATAAGATAGAAATAGCAATGTAATGAAATTTTCACATGACAAAATCAGTTAAAGAATTCAGGATCAGAAGGGGCTGTGGTACATTGAATTTACAAGGTGAACAGACAGCACAATGTCAAAGAAAATTTAGTGTCAATAAATAGAATTAAATATGGAGTGGAGGAAAAATATTAAAGAAGTATTTATCTACAAATTTACTATGTAAATTCAGTAAAGTACCTAAGTATTACTGCAGACAAGTCAGTGAAAAACTTTCTTCCATATGCAAATGCATTAGGAAAAAGGCATAAAATATTCTAAAGCTATTGCATAAATCAAAGCTGCATCTTGTCTAGAGTGTTGTGTACAAAACTCTTACAGGATAATGTGGCAGTGGAGAGGGCTAAGAAAAACAACAAAACTCTCATACAAAGTGAAATAGGAAAGATTCAAGATTTCCTCTGAGATTAATTAGTATGATCATGATAAGACTGAAAATCACAAATCTAAATCAAGGGCTCTTTAGAAATGACACAGAGGAACTGGATATCTGTATGGAAATGTAGTTTTCATGATTAATTATTTCACATTTAGAAATAAAGTTAAACTTCCTGTTTCAGGATTGAAACCAATTTCTTCTTATAAGAAAATAAAGGGAGAATTTGTAGAAGACACTTTTATGACAGTATTTAGACTAAATATCTGTTTCTGGCTATTGCTGGGTCATAAAGCTACATAGACTGCTTTTGAGTAGGAACCAGTGTTTTCAAGATTTTGGCTGCTTTCAAGATATCTTCATGATTTTGGAAAGGTTTGTGTTTGTTTAACAGCTCAGAAAGAAAGTCCTTTGAAAACACCATTATTTGTGAGATTGAAGGACTGCTGGTGATCAAGGTTCAAGTTTCTGATAAAAGTCCAAAACAACAGAACAATCTTAAACTTGATTTTTTTATCTCCTTGAAAATACTTAATGCATTATCATTTTTTTGACCTTTCCATAACTGGAATTTACCTTTCTTTTCCCACCTTACATAAAAAAAATTGAACAAGGTCCTCCATGGCTTGTAATGATTTTTTTAACCTATTCACAAAACCTAAAATATGACAAAACTCATTTCTGGTTTCTGGGATATCTAGATTCTCTCAATCTGGTTTCTGTTAATCTCAATTTTTAATTCCAGAATATGGTGTGTATATTTTTGATAAATGTGTTTTGCTTTGTATACCATCTATCAATATTAACTGAAAAATTATGACTGGATTTGGGTAGGCCTAGAAAAGACAGACTGTGACTTAAGGCTGCTAATAGAGTCCTCTTTGAATAGCTTTGTGTGTACAAATTCCTAATTCAAGAACTACAAGTCTCTTCAGTACAGAGCAAAACAAGTTGACTCAAGAATTTGTTCTTTCTCTGAATAATCAGGGTAAAAAGCACATGGCCAAGTGTGTCTCTTACACTGGAGCATCACATTTTCTAGTTCATCACTCTGTTTCATGCCCTTCCCTCCCTAGCTACCATACATTACTCAGCAGGTAATATGGCTTTTTATCGACAGCAAACCAAGTTCCTTGGGTAAACTATCCATCTTTTTGCTGCTTTTCAAATTCAGACCCATCACTCAATTTCTGAAAGAGCAATGTAAAGGACAGTGTTCTCCTCTTTTTCATTTATCCATTATTATTTCATGTTCTGGTCAAGCAGGACTTGACCAGAGCAATGCTACTGGCTACTGTGGTCAGAATGAGGCCTCTTCTGTCTCATGAGATTTGTTGAGTATTTACAGTACATTCCATCAGAAAGACTGTGGCCAAGGTGAAAATTCCAGCAGCTGTCCCAAGAGGATATAATAGCACGATAACAGAAGCTGGTCAGTCCTAAGTGTGGCAGCAGGCATGGAGGGGCCTGGCTGTCCCTGGGGAGCAGAAGCACGGTGAGCCACATCCTATAAGATGGCAGCACAGAAGTCAGGAGGAGCCCAGAGGTGCACTGCACGTTCACCTATAAGCCCTTCCCAGAGTCTTGATTTTTGGGGTTTCTGTTGATTTGGGAGTCACTTCAACACACCACAAGTGGCTATATAAGTATGCCTTTCAAAAGCCATTGAGGCTTCTTCTATAGCATTCTCTGGGGGTAAAAACTACTCAATCTTCTGTAATCACAGTTTGTGAAATGTGCACAGCACAGCTTTGATACACTCATTACCAAAAAAAAGGGAAGTGACTGCAAAGAGGGCTAGATCCCAGAAACCTTGTGCCAGTTTTTCACCAATTCTAGTCATGAGACCTTTTTTATTTTGAGTGCATTCTTGAGATGCTTAAAATCTATCTAATTCTCAAAGGAGGGTAAGTGGTAGAAAACATAAAAAATCCTTGAAATCAGAATATTTTTGCCACAGGCCATTGATAAATAGCATTTTAGTAATTCAAGGTTTAACCAGTTCCTTTTTGATCGGTTTTATCCAAATGTACAAGCAGTTTGAAGTAAAATGATTTCTCATTTTAAGAGCACTGAAGGGACAGAGATCAGCACACAAAATGCAAACATTTGAAACTACGAGGGAGTGTCTGCCCTCTCCTGACCTCATTATCCTTGATTTCTGTCCTGCACATTATCCAATAAAGGGCAGAGTTACACTTCTGCTTGTTTCATTTCCAGTTCCTTAGCCACATCAGATCCATTCATATCAGCAGCTGGGTGCTGAACACCCTTTTCTGGGAAGTACAGGCTCTGAATCTTAATTCCTCTCTCTTATTTTGCCTGCAAATGCTAGCCTAAGGCAGAGGTTTACTAAGACCACTTCTAACAGACTTTTCAAAATAAAATTACATCTGTAACTACATTTTTAGAAGTTTCAGTCCTATAAATGTGGGCTGGTGAATGGGTAGTGCATGGATTTTGAACAGATTTAAGAATAAGTTTGGCTCATCTCCATCAGAGTTGCAGCAGTCATCTGTAAATACAGGTAACTCTCATCCATTTTAATAAAATTTTGTTATGATTTCACAGCATTCATTGTAGATGTATGCAAGATTTTATTGGAATACTGTGCTGAGTTTTAGGGAACTTTTATTCTGTCTCTAGAGTTGAATATTGGTCACACATCACTCCTTCCACTGAGAAGCTAATTCCTGGGGTTTTTTTTTAATTTGGGTTAAATTTCAAAGTATCAGTTTTCTTCCAGTCTCTTTCCCATTTTCTTTCCCACAAAACTCATGATATAGGGCTTTGAGGTGGGACTGTTGGATAATCATGTCTTGAAAGTTTCGATATTTGGCAGAGGCTTAGAAACATAATTTCAGGCAGTTTTTTACGTCCTATTTTATGCATATTTTTAATACTACAATTTCTAATAGCAAAAAAACCACACATTTCTCTTAAACTGATTATGTCTCATAACCTTTCTCTGTACTCCTCTTACCCCTTTATGCCCTGCCATTTCAATCTATCCTCCTCCTTCATTGTTGATTTTGAAATATTCACTCTATGACTCTCTCCCATTATCAATGTCTGGGAGGAAGGACGGCCACGACTGAAGTTACCTGTGAGAATGTAGAAAGCTGGAATATGCTCTCATGAATAGCAGAGCTGGGTGTCTGTGAGGAAATGCTTCAGTTTCCTCATCTGGCAAAGAAATGTATCCCTTTATGGCATAATATATGTGTGGTTTGATATATGTACAGAATGACCCATATAGGTGTTCAAATAATTTTTACTGATACTGCTATTAACTTCAATTTTGAAAACATTGTATTTTTGTTTCTGTTTCAGCTGCAGTGAAAAAGGAGGGGGAGAAGAAAGGTAAATCAATCTTTTTTCCTTGACTGAAAGGTCTTTCAGGCTGTGACTGCTGTGAGAAATGTTTCTTTCGTTCAGTGATACAATTGCAGTGATACACAGCATTGTGATGACATACAGCACCTCGCGTGCTACCATCAGCCAACTTTATCTGCTCCTGCTGTGATAACACTCTTGTCATTTCCACTATTGCTAGCTCCTTTCTAAAACGGGCCAATACAGACCAGTATCAGACACTTCATCATTCTGACTGAGAGGAAAATGAAAGGCCTTTGTTACCACATTAGGATTTGTCAAAGAGAACAAAACTTGCAGTGCATCATGCATGCTGACCTGGCTGCTTGCTCTTTGCAGAAGCTGCTTTTCTACACACATTTAATTTCCTCTTTTCACATATATATGGAGCTTGCATGTAACCTTTGCTGAAGTCATTCTCTGATATTTTAACAGATTAGTGGAAAAATTTGCACTAAATCAGAACCTAAAGTATTACTTTTATTTAAAGATAAATATAATGTATTTATCAGACACTAAATATCTATTTATAGTGTTGTCTTTTGGAATAAGATTTTCTGAGTTAAAACCTTTTTCCTAATTTTCTGATTTTATTCAAACAGCAAAAATAATGAAATATTTGCACTGAGGTGATATTTTTTTCAACCTATTCAACTTTATTGAATATCGGGCTTATAAATCTTGTCTTTCTCACTAAATAGAACAATGGAAACATTTTGAGAACATATCCATATATTTCTTAGGATTATTTGAAATTGTTTTTTATTCAGTGAGAAAAAAAATAGCTCTTTATTATTCATGGGAGATTTGGTGGGGGGAGTGTAGAGCATGTCTTTTGCCATTTGGAAATTCTATGATTCACATAATTGAACAATGGAGCCAACCTTTACTGTCTGTACATGAAGACATTTCAATCCTACTAATTTATTATTTTTTTCTCTGTTATCCCTGCACAGAGCTGTTAACTGAAATGGGGAAAAAATTTATAGTCTCAACTGTTTTATCAGCTCATGAGTGAAATCTTGGCTGTGTTGATGTTAGTGGCAAAATTCCCATTCACTCCTCTAAAGCCAAAATTTCACTTCATGTCTTTAACAGAACAATAAAATTAATTTCAGTTATCAAAAACAACCATGCTTAATAGGTATTGAGCAGGACATTTTGTCCAAAGATTAATTTACAACAACTGAGGCATGAAAGGTAGGACATGAAGCAGGGAGAATCTGAAAACTGGCAGCTACTCATAGAGCCATTGGTTTTCAAATATCAAAATGTCTGCTGTGTTCAAAAACATGAACTGCTACATCCTCGATGGAAAGAAAAGAATGAGGTAATTGTTAAGGGTGCTACTTCTCTCACCCTTGTCAGGTTATGGGCCCATTCTTTTACAGAAGAACATCAAGGTTATTTGTTTTAAATACCTAGTGCTCATTTTTCACCAGGTAGGATTTTCTTCACACTTAACCATAATCTTCCCCAACAAAACTGATTGAAAAATGAATTTTCATGAACATTCTTTGAAGTTAGATTGATTTTCCCATTTCATTTTATTTTCTATATTTCTTTTGCTTAAAAATATTTCCTTTGATTTCTTAGTTGAAAGGATTTTGCAACAAGTATGTGTGTAGGCTGCTTTCATGCACCTGGCTCAGGCTGTACCTCATCCTGCTGATTACCACCAACCTATTTCACAGAAACATGGAAGTATGAACTGAAATTCAGTTTTAGTAATTCTTATGATTATCATCCCTTTATTTTTTTTTGATTAAACCACCTTCTGGTTTTCTGAGATCATAACCAACATTGTCAGCAAGGAAGGTAGTGATTCTAGTGAAAAACAAAATGCCAGAAAAACGAAATCCAGTGACTAAGGCAAATTGGTTCAGTGATGTTCCTGCCTTTAGTGGATATGCACTAAACTGAAAAACTGGAGAGAAGTAATAAGGCCTCTTCCAAAAAATGAACATGCCGTGCTTTAGTTGCTATGCTTTCTCATCTAGCTTCCCCTTCTCTGCAGGTCCCACATGGAAAATATTGCATGCTACTAGCTAACTCCAAATATGAGAAGGTTTTATTTATTTCTGCTTATTCTGTTGTCATAAGAAATTGCTCTAGGCTGCATGTGTATTCCTCTGACTGGCAATAAAAAGGGGTAATGTTCACTGGTTTTGCTTAAGGATACAGTATTTTTTGCACAGCTGCAAAAATAATAGAAGTAGCCAGGAAGCACTCTAAATTGACTGGCTCATTATCCAAAATATATTGTGGTAGCAGCATGAACAGTTCAAACAGCACTTTACCATTTCTCACGTGAATCATACAGCACACAGACACTGTACTCTACATGAAGCTTTCTCCAATTATTTTGTCCTATTCAAAAACATCCCTCATCTAGAAAAACAAGAATAATGAGCCATACAGAGTGACAAGGCATCATAAAAGAGAAGAAGATGGAATGATGCGTTCAGTCAATGGTACATTCTGTGCATAACATAAATCAGACTTGAAGGAGCTGGCAAAACACAGAAAATAACAAAATTAAGATGGAGAAAAATTATGTATTACACTGATTTCTCCAAATATGGGTGATGCTAACAGGAACTTTGAGGCACAATTAATGCATGAAATTTAAGCATTCACTTTTTCTCTTTCAAAGGTTAGATCTCTAGGACTTAGTGACCAAAGTCCTAGAAAATGGGCAGCTTTACCTTCCAGCATCATGTTATGCCTTCTTTCAACATGTGTGGGATAGAGAAGCTGTCACAGAAATGTGTAAATGTTGTCAATTCCAAAAGGGCAAGAGACAGAAAACCTTTGCATGAGGAAGGAATTTCCCAAGAGCAAATCTGGCTGCCAATAGACAAAAATTTTTAACTCTTGCTAATAATTCAAAGCATGTGAGCAAGAAATCAAACTGATTAAAATAGACCTAGGTGTTGATAAAGTAATATAAAACCCGTAATTTACCCAGAAAACACTAATCAGAAATGTAACATGCTGAAATATTTAATCTTTTTTTTTTACATTTAATTGCCATTTTTAAATGAAAGAAATATTAATAATTACTTTTATAAACCAAAAGTGTATTTTAAATTTTAAAAAATGTTTTATAATACAGAGGGTTACAAAAACCCTTGTTTGGAATAGAGCAATACCACAGAAAACTTTAAGTTTTCCTAGTTCTGCATAAAGTGGAACTTATTTCAATTCATGCCTCCCATACCCTGCTTATTTCTGACTATAGAGGACATGGACTGAGTTGGGGATGTCAAGCAAGTAAGAGTAGTGATTTATCTCTCTAGCAGCCATCAGAAAGTCTTGTTTTGTAAAGATTCTTGACATCTGTGTTTCTAGTGGACCAAACAGGATTCAGCTGTGACACAATCCCTGTGGTTGCTCATTATCAGGAGTACGTGTAAGAACACTCATTGTTGAAAGTGACTCGTGAACCTGAGCTGCCAGGGAGTTGGTTTCTCCAGCCTACTTGGAGCTAATGAGCAAGAGACAGAGAACAAACTCTGCCTTGCTTCTGAGAGCACATCTAATTCAAGACCTCTGTGAGTCTCACCTGCTCTGTGGATTGTCTACAGTCAGATATTACGAAGACAAGTAAATTAGTGAGATGCAGGTCCTGGTTGCCTGTCAATAGCAATACTCCCATTCTGATTTTCAGCACTAACACTCTGACACCTTGCTCTTAAATTAATTTACTAGTTTTTAGAAAGCAAAATGAAAATCACATTCATATGACAATTTTCATCAAAATAATTTGACAAGAGAGCATGTGAGATCACATTTAGACTGTTTTTAAATAAATGCATCATGGTGTAAAAAATGTGTATCATCTGAGTGCAGCTAAAATCAAACAAAAGGAGAAAATGGGCAAGCCATGTACATTCAAGATCCAAACCATATCTTTTTGTCAATTCAGTAAAGAACAATTTTCCTCTAGTACTCCTTGCAATTGTACTGTATGGCTTGGAAACTGCTGTTCTGCATACAGGGTGTGCAATAAACTGGCCAAAGCACGCTGGCATCCCTTTTCAATACACATAAAAATCAAGATGCTTTCCAAACTGAAAAAAAAACAAACCAAACCAAAATGGGGATATTTCAGAACTGCTTCATTTTGTAATTGACTATAAAAATTGAAAGTCAGCAATCTTATTCAAAAAGCAATTGGTCATGGTATAATAGGATTTCTGCTCAGCTTCAGATGCCACTGGTTCAAGCTGAATCACAGCTTCATTATGCCATTTTCTAACAAGAGTCAAAGGATAAGAAGGTAGATTATCTGATCCAAGAAGGTAGATTATCTGATTCTATAACTGCAAAGTGTATTACACAGCCTCCTAATATAACTTTTAGTCCTAAACAAAGGGATTAAAAAACACCAAATCATTATAAATACTTTAAAAAACATTTTTTTAAATAGGGTAAAAAATTCTGTATTATATTCTAGAAAATAATAAATACAGCCATATGCTAGTATGCTGTTGAAACTATTAGTGATATATTGACCAGCTGAAGGCAGGCAGCTCTCTCAAAGGTAACAATCACAGAAGTAGCCACAAGATGGAGCCCAAAGGATCTTCCAAACTGTAGTTAATATTGTCATCCTGCACCAGATTAAGAGTTAAATAAGGTGATTTTAATGAAGAACACTACAGAAATCTTGAACTGCAAACAAGATGTTTTTCAATGGAAATCCACTCCTGACTAAAGCTGTTTTCAATTTGATAGATGGCTACCCATGCTCTGGTGAACTTTGATTTCCCATGCTAAAATAACAAGTCCCCAGCATTTTCAAGGAATATTGATGAACATGTAATTTATATTAAATAAAGAAAATTATCTGAAAAGATTACATCATATAAGTGTTAAATTTACTTGACCTCTGTTTGCCTTGTCTCAACTATCTTAGAGCATAAATAATTTATGTCCCTTTTACAGGGTTATTATGTGAGACAACAATCTGTAGAACCTCT